ATCTATATGCTAAAAACTGTGCTGACATGCTCTTAACTACAAGCAATTTACTGAGATTGAATTTGAAGACTGAACTAAAATAAAGTTGCTTATCTACTTATCACAATCACTCTTCCACAGTTCAAGGACCTCAGGCCAGTTCTTGTGTTATGCTGGATGGCTTCACAAATCACACCAAGCTGCGGATATCACACAGAGAGGAATTCCAACTTGCACAGATTGATTGATAATAAGGAAAAGAAACAAAAACCTGAGTAGAATGAACCAGCCTCCAAGCCTAATCACAGATGGCAAATCCACATGGTGCCTTCTGCCCTGTTTTCCATCTCTTCTCCTAGTGTAAATGTGGCAATGCACTCTGACCCACATAACACGGTCCTGAACCAGTTAAGTAAATCATTATACATACTGCAAAATAATTGGTGATAGGCCTGATTTAGCTGAATTACGTGACCCGTAAAGACACATTCCCTTTTTTTCCGTAGACCACAGTAAATGGGCTGCTGAAGATAATAAAACTGGAAAATGTTGAGCATTTTAACATCATTTAAAATACCTGTTTAACTAGGTATTACCAGAAGATAACACATTGCTTTTTAAAAGGAATTAATTGCATTATTACTCTGATTGCTTATTCTGTATTACCTGTTCTTGCAAACAAACAAACAAAAAAAAAAACGCCCAAAAACACAAAAAAACCTTCATTGGTCAATCAGAACACAGAAAATGCATCAAAGAAGCTTTCAAAGCTTCATTGGCTTCTTCATCAAATATGTTATAAATCATAAAAGAAGAAAAGGTGAAACTGCTGGCACCACAAGCGTACATTTCTGCTGTCAATTAAAATGCTATAGCACAGTTCTGAAGTGCCCTCCTCCTTGTCCCGCCGTCTCCTCCCCTTCCAAACTTTCCTTCCTCTTTCCTGCTCTTCCTCTCCCTCCTTGCTCCCAAAAGCTTTCCCCATCACCTTTCTTGCTTCCAAAACCCTATTTCCCTCCCACCACTCAGGGGGTGCTCTGACTGTGCTTTTTCTGCATAGCAGAAGGGAATTGAACTGGATGCACCCTGGGGGTTATCATCATCATCATCATCATCATCATCATCATCATCATCATTATTATTATATTAGCATATTATTTAAGAACACAGAAATGCTGGACCACTCTCACAACCACCAAGTCAGACTACACAGGGAAGCCAGTGAAATCCACAAGCATATGGACAATTTCAACAGAAAGGAAGAAACCATGAAAATGAACAAAATCTGGCTACGAGTATTAAAAAACTCAAAAATAACAACAGCAAAACAACAGAGAGTAAACAATCAGGCACATCAAATCACTCTCAACAAAAGATTCCCCCCAGGCACTACCAAGCCATTAAATGCTAATCAAGGTGGTCAGTTGAAACATTCACACCTAGCTCCAGCAGACAAAAGTCCTTTGTCCCACCCTGGTCATTCCACAGATATATAAACCCATTTTCCTACTTCCAACAGACCTCACCTACAACAACCCATTATTATCATTATTGTTGTTGTTGTTGTTGTTGTTGTTATTATTATTATTATTATTATTATTATTATTATTATTATTATTATTATTACAAAAAGCTGTATGGCATGTTGGGGATGCTTTGATTGAGCTTTTCCTGCATGATATAATACAATACATAAACATTTTTTGGGGCTCCACAAGAAACTTTTGCTTCAAAAAGGGCTCCATGGCTGAACAAGTTTGAGAACTGCTGCTATAGAGGGATTTCAATAAAGCCAGAGGCCATTCCTTCTTAGCTATGAAGATGAGGGACAAAGAGGAATAGAAGATAATAACACCTGAACTCTGTAAGAAACAGAAAGTAACTTCCCTTGAGATCCAGCTGCCCTTGTCTGTGTGAAGCTAACTGCCTCTTTCTTAGGCAGAGAACATTGTACAGTAGACCCTTAGGTTCATTCTACAATGTCCTATAATCCAGTTTTAGTATGTAGATTAACCTAATTGAACTGGATTTTAGGGCTGTGTGGACTGATATAATCCAGTTCAAGACAGTTAATCCACATTCTGAAACTGGATTAAAAGGCAGTGTAAATCCAGTCTCAGTTAATTGCCGTCCATGAGGACTGTACATGCCAGATATATGTAGTTTCCGATTTTGCCAATTACTATTAAATATAGTCTAAATAATAATACACCCTATACCATACCATACCATACCATAAACTCTGTACTGCCTTTATATTAACATACTGTTTTTTCCCATGAGTCTCTGTCCTCAAAGTGACATCCTTTCAAATATTTAAACATGGCTATCATATCTCCTCTCAGCCCCTATTTCTCCAAACTTAACATACACAGCTCCCTCTCAGCTTGTCTTCATAGAGCTTGGCTTGGTTGCCCTTGTATGGACATTTTTTTTGTCTGTCAATATCCTTCTTGCTTTGTGGTACCCAGCACATCTATCTTTTAAAATATATGATTTATTGCTTATTTTACATAGAACCTGATGTTTCTTATTACGTTCACCTACATACTTCAGGCAACACAGTAACATGTTGTGACACAAAGTTTGGAAATCTCTGGTCTACAGGGATGACAACAGCAAAGCATGGATCTGACCGATCATCTATATCTATAAATTTCCTACTGGCGTCCAACGGGGAAGCAAAACTCTAAAACCCCTCCACAAAACTCCACCAAAATTGCCATGCCCCAAGGACAACCCACTAGGTACAAACTAATCCAGTCAGAAATCAAAACAACACAACCACACACAGAAAAAACGGCAAAACAACTGAGCATGCGCACTGGCGCAAAGTCCCCAGCGCGCGCGCACACATGGCCGAACGGCCAACGCACTTCCCTCCCTCCCTCACCCCGCCCAGCGCGAACACGTCACCGCACTTCCCCACGGCACACACACACACACAAACAACGCAACTTCCCCCCGCCCCCTTCCCTCCACCCCCTCCTTCATCTTACTCCTCCCACGCTGCCTCCAAGCCCCGCTCCGCACACTCCAAGCCTCGCCGCACATCCCCACTGGAAAGACACGCCCCCTCCCTTCACCCCACCCCTTCCCTCCCTGAGTCACTCCTTCCCTCCTCCCACCCCCTCCGGAAAGACACGCCCCCTCCCTTCGCCCCACCCCTTTCCTTCCAGGAGTCAATCAGGGAGGGAAGGGGTGGGGCGAAGGGAGGGGGCGTGTCTTTCCGGAGGGGGTGGGAGGAGGGAAGGAGTGACTCAGGGAGGGAAGGGGTGGGGAGAAGGGAGGGGGCGACTTTGAAGACACAATGATGGATCCGGACCAAAGCATTCAATACGCCCAAATATCCACACAGATGGAGTTTGAGGGAAATAGACCTTGACATTTGGGAGTTGTAGTCACTGGGATTCAGAGTTCACCAACACTCAAAGAGCATCCTGAACCCCACCAACGACAGAATTGGGGCAAACATGCCACACTGAACCCCCATGACCAACAGAAGATACTCAAGTTTACACACAAGCATAAAGAAGGGGGAGGAAGGAGGGATGCCAGAGAGAGAGAGAGAGAGAGAGAGAGGGGGGAAAGGAAGGAGTGTGAGAGAGAGAAAGAGGGAAAGAGGGCGAGTGAAGGAAGGAAGAGAGGCCAGGCAGAGACTTCAAAACTCTTACTAAAGGCCACAGCAACGCGTGGCAGGGCACAGCGAGTCTTCTATATTTTCCCAGCACAATCAGGTTCATACTTTTGAATAGCCATCCAGAATGAACGCACAACACATAATGTAACATACATGATGATCCTAAGAATCCACAATCTCTAGGAATGTATTAACTTTGAACTTTGAGAAAGTTTTGACCACTTCAGTATTGTACCATAAGAAACCAATCCATCATATATACTAAATTATATAACTCAGAATTTGTTTTCAAAAATATATTTCAGAGCAAGTACAGCAAGCTAAGAATTTCTATAGAATGAACCATAAGAGCATTAATACATATTTTGAAATATTAAGCACATGCACTGTCAAATATACTTTAGGCCTACACTGTGACTGATGATTTTAGCACAACAGATTTTATTGAGCAATACAGCCTTTACTGTCAATTGAAGGATTCATTTTATGTGCTCTCCTAAAATGACAGCTCGAGTTTGCAAGTCTCGGCATAACAAATCTGATATATTTCTTATTCGAGGTGTGCACAGAGAGCCTGATATGTCAAAACAACATATTTTCATTGGAAGAAATATACTTTGTTTGCAAAAAAAAACCAAAAACCCTCACCAATCCACACAAACAGAACCCCCGAGGGTGAAAACTAAACAAAATCCCCTGAATTGCAAAATATTGTTTATCATATACTACCTTATACCTCCCTTGAAATTGGCCATAAATGAAAACAGTTTAGACATATCTTTCTTTTTGTATTGTTCTTGAAGGTAGATTCATGAATGTTGAACTTTAACAACATTTGGATCATCAATGCCGCATGAAACAATTCACTGCGTGTTTAAAATTATAGGAAATATCTGATCCAGGCAGATAATATCATGCCTATTTACATATACCTCAGAGTATGCACAGTACTATTTTTCTGCAATCCGGAACCAGCTTTTCCAACTACTTTAAGCTCTTATCATTATTGTTGGGTCTCAGGTTTATACGTACCTTGATGGGAAGACTGTCACTGATTGAATTATAATATCAGTAGATGATGTATGCAGTCATTATATCAAAGTGTTTTGGTCTTGCAAAAACTCATCCTACATTTTCTCACCATTGATTAGCAATGAACTGAAATTAATACAACAAGCCATATTGCTTCTGCATGCAAAACTATAAATTATGCATCTGAGAGGTAATTTATTTCACTGAATCTTTGTGTCCCATTCAACTCCCTATTTGTGGAGCAACACGTCATTAGAAACTGTTATTTTACAACAGTGACACACTTTGAATAGACCTGCATTGGGACAACCACAAAACACTTGTTTAGATAAGGCACTGATAGACTTACGTAGCTCTCCCACTTTCAGGATATCACACAGCATCTTTGTTAATTCAATACTACTTCGGCCAAATGGACATTCATGCTTATCTTCCCGGCTGCTGTTTTCTAGGACAATCTGAAATAAAACATCCAACCAGTCAAGAAAAGGTATGCCATAAACAATATAGAAGTTATATATTAGTTTGAAATTGTAAAAACCTTCACAATAATATCAGAAATTCAGCTCCTTTTACTTTACAGTATATGGATTGCACTGGTTGCCGACCATGTACTTGTAACATGGAGTGGTCACTTCAGATGTATACACTCCATGAAGCAATTCTAATGGACAATTCAACTTGGGATTGAGGTCCACCACTCTCAAAGCCATCCATTCCCAAGGCGGCTCTGAAGTTAGAAATAATCGTAGTATTGAATACCATCAAGTATCCACTCTGCCTGACTAATGTGTTTCTTCAGAGTATTGCAATTTCTTGGCATTTTTGGAGATGCAGTGAAAGCCCATAACACAGCATGGTAAATTGAAAAGGGGTTTGTTGTTCTTGCTGCTAATTGAATCACTTCCAGATGATACACACTTTTAATATTTAACTACAAAAAAGTCTGAGTCTAGAAAATAATTTCAAACAATTTTCCACAGAGAGCTGTGCTTTGAGATAGATAAGCTGAGCTTCTGCATTTTGTGATAAGCTCTATGGCCAGTAACCCACCCCACCCCCCAAAACAAATGAAAAAAGGAAAGCCCAACCCCAAAATGCCCAGAAGATCAAAGTATTTCAAATTCAAAGGATTCTGAATTCCCTTATATCAAACAGTTCCTTGGAAGTACTATGAATTTCCTAGAAATCCAGTGTTATATAATGATTGCCTTTCCTTAAATACTTTCCCCACCAACTTCACTTTCTCCTGATTAGTTTTACCTAAGAAAATTTGCTTTAAAAAAAACTGGCAACAGAAAACCTCAAAGCTCCTCCATCCCATGCTATAACTCAGGGTTATGCAGAACTAAAGGGTGAAGAGTGGGACAACAAAGTCAGTGTGTTTGCTTCTTGACTATAGGAAATATTTAAGTGATTCACAAAAAAGTAGAATTTAGCAGCATGGAAATAAAACCAAGAATGCCATGTTAAAATCATTATAACGGACAAAAGCACATCCAGCAATAAGATCATACATTTTCTCACCACCAGATGAGAATACAAATTTGGTTGTAAGTCCCTTTTGATTTTTTTGCACCTGTTTTTATAAAATGAATGTTTGTGAAAAAATTGTTTTCTGTACATAAACATAACTATATTTTTCTGCGAATTATTCTTTTAACAAAAAAGTCCTGAAATGAGGAAAATCTTATAAGACTGTCCATTTTGTCAAATGATTGTCTCTATGTATTGAGAAAACTTTTCTCTCTTTAGATGAGAAAAGTTCTGAGTATTATTTATTATCTTGTTTAGTAACTGATTCATGGAGTACCTAAAACCTGCCAGGTAAACAACAGAATGCCGGGGAGAAAAAACCTACAAAAGCAAGTTGAAGTTTGCACAGGAACATACGAGGTATGTACTTAAAGAGAAATTTCTAGGAATAAAAATCTTCACGGCCCCACATTGCTTCATTATCAGCACTTGACAAATTTAGTTAGTATTTTGCAGCCCAGAGAGACCTGAATGTTTGGTGGGTTGAAGAGCAGTGATTAGAATATCACACTAAGAAAGAGATCACAGACAGGAATTGAAGAGAAATAGCTAATATAACTCCAAATCAATAAAGTCACATAACCAGGCCATTCTACCTCACATTTCAAACAGTATGGACATCTTACTAGTGTATATATATTCTTTCAAGTTGGCTGCTGACTTATGGTGACCCCATGGATTTAATAGGGCTTTCTTAGGCAAGGAATACTCAGATATACTCAGATATTGTTTTTGCCAGTTCGTTCCTCTGAAATATAGCCTACAACACCTGATATTCACTGGTGATCTCTCGTCAAGTGGACATTAATGAAAAAAATGGAAACAGTTCTGAAGAACTCATTCCCAACATACGTCCATATTAGAGGAAAGGTCTCTCATGTGAAAACACTCCTCCTGTTGTTACTATTATGTGCCTTTAAGTTCAGGTGAACCCATAACATGTGGGGTGTTTGTTTTGGCAATATTTGTTCAGAGCCTGGGAGTGTATGACTTGCCTAAAGTCACTCCGTGGGTTTCCGTGGCTGAGTGGGGAATTCTGGCCTTCAGGTTCCTATTTCAACACCCAAATCCTTACATTGCATTGGCTTTCATGAACATTCCTCTACCTTGATCCAAACATTCTAACTTTCGTCTCATGAATGTGCCAAGTATGAGCAGTAAAATTCCATAGGCTTCTATGATTGGGAAGATGGTATAAACTCAACATCCAAGGCTACCCCCAGTAGGCAAGAAATCAACTATCTTGGAGTTAAATCAAATTACTTTTTTCTATTAGCAAAATAGTTTTTGATCCAATAGTTGCTTCTGTTAGAAAAAGAGGCCAGGAAAAGACTTTTATCAATTTTCTCTTCTATCTGAAGTTCTTTACTTTCCATTGGGAGGAGGGGTCACAACAGTATCTGACACAGCTTTGGAGCTGGGGTTGGATGAAAAGAGAATCAGCTAATATCTTCTCTAGTTAACAGATCAAAAGCCTTTCTATGCATGAAAAGGCACAGTTCAGCTCAACCCATGATTTCCTAAAGCATTTCCCCTTTTGTACTGAAAATAAAGTTTTGACCTACTCCTAATTGAAACGCTATGGATAAAGAATGGTATGTAACCTAAGAAATGCTTCAGAAACTTTTTTTTTATTTCTACAGATTTCTTTCAGGAACATGTTACATACTGAATGAGTCATCCCTTCTGCTTTGCAGCCTTTCATGGTAGAAAACTAACAGTTCTAAAGTATGGCAGAGATGACAGAAAAGAACCAACCTGAAACAGTAACTACAGGATCTAATGTCACTAACATTGCTTATGTGTTGTTCCACATCCCCTATTCTGATAATCAGATTTAAGCTATACTTAAGAGATCATGTTATAATGATGAAAGTATTGATGCAACTAATAAAAGTGGGTACTGATAAGCCAAAGTAAAAGGAAAGGATAAAGGAAAGGGCAACACCAGACTCTACAATATCTTCATTCTTTCAAATTCATTTGTTGGTTCTTGTATTAGCCCTATATATCAAGATTTTATGAGTGGTTCAAATATTTATTGATGACAATGTGTCTGCCTGTGTCACAGGGCATGGTTACAGTAATCAATATGATTATCTGGCAATCAAATGAGAAAATGTGTTACAATTTACCACTCAGTAAATAAATGCCACTTTAAGTAATCAATATGCAAACAGCTTTCTCTGTCTATTCATATTTACAGCACAGGCAATGAGGTAAAAAGGAGAAACAAATTCATTCTGAGAAGGAGGGAAGACGTTATATCACAGCTAGCTATATGGAAGTAACAGCAGGCAGAGTTTTATTTCTATTATGCAAACACAATGGAAAAAGGACTACAATAGTGTCTCGTTTATCTGACATAAATGGGCTGGCAGGACATCGGATTAATGATAATATGAAATAATACGGAGGCTTCTGGGAGTTGAAGTCCGTATCTCTATCCTGGCAGAGATCAGTGGTGAGTGAGTTCTCCTGTTTGGTTTTCCAGACACAAGGAAAGAACTCACTCACCACTGATGGAAAAAGAGCAACAAACAAGGAATTGTAATGAGAAGGTAGATAGTACACTTACACAAATCCTCAAGACAACTTCCCACCTTCATTCTTTTCTCTTCCCACATTTCCTACAAACTCCCACGTAGCCACAGCCCCTCCTTCCAACTCAGGGTGACCCACTGCTGTGCATGGGGGAATGGGTGGGAGGAGAGGTAGAACCATTATGTTCTGGCTCCTCCTTCCAAGTCTGCACAGTGGTACCGGCCAAACCGGGGGGGAAAAAGAAGGAAACTAAAAACATGGCCTCTAAAGGGGAAATGCTGGAGGAAAAGGGGGCGGGGGTGTGTGTGTTATAAGAGCACCAGATAACATGGAAGGTTGGATAAGTAAAGGTTGGATAAGCGGGACGCTACTGTGTATAGATAATCAGAATGAAACCAATACTGAGCTAGGGAATACATATTGAAAACAAGAAGCTTACTGATAAGCTGCTGTCATACTGCAGTTATTTCATGTTCATGCCATCATGCACTATAAATGCTGACAAGGGTAGACTAGCCCATCTTTATTTCCTTCTCAACCTCTAGCTGGGAGAGCTAGGCAAAACCATCACAAGAGTTATGAAGCTCAGCAGTTATTGAATGGTATCATTTCAGGTGACATGCAGCATGTTCAAATATTGTGCATATACATTTTTAAGCCTATACAGAGAAAACAAGGACCCAAGGAAGACTTGATGCTAAGCTGAACCGAACAATTTTATTGATTAGTGAGTTGGCCTTGTCAAAAACAGACAATGCAAACACAACATACACCATAGATCTAGTCCTCTTAAAATAAAATACAAATATACAGGTATTTGTCAGTTTGAAAGCTATGTAGCTTAGCCGTAGATATATACATCAACTATCCTCGTTGCCCCTACAATGCACCCAATCTGATCTATGTATTCCGATCTCCTTTTAGCAGCTTTAAACAAATAAAGGGCAACTTTTGATGTCAGAATGGGGTTGTAACTGGCCAACAAAAATGAGGTTTTGGCTGCTGTATCCCAGCTTGTTTTATTGCAAATAAAAGCCATAAGCAATACTGTTCACTTCTCCCGGTCAACACCTATTTGATAAAAAATATATATATACATAGGCGTTGATCTTATCCTATGATGATGATGTTTGCTAACATTTTCTCCTTTCTTAAATGCTTATAATCAGAATGTGTTTTACCATTAGACAGGGTGACATGATTTCCTCAGGCAGTAAGAACTCAAGGAATGACGAATCCTTCCTCCTACCCTGCTCCTAAGTGGGACTAAGGGCGTGGTGGTGATTATGGCTAAAGAAGAAGCAAGGCATGTCCTCCCACTACAGGGAGGGGAACCTTGCAAAAGTGCTGCTCATGGTTATAAAGTGATTTTTGATAT